GGGGGGGGGGGGGGGGGGGGGGGGTTAGGCGCGTGGTCCGCGGTCGGGATATTCGCAGCGGCCGAGGGATCTATCGCTTATTTCTCGCGAGTGACCCGAGGCGGCCGGTAGTGGTTTTTGTTTTTCGGTTGAGCTGTTCCAGTTGTTAGAGTGCCCGAGTTCAGGATGACGGACGCGGTGTTTGACTCCCTCGCCCAGAAAATCAACAAGTTCAACACGCAAGTCAACAAACATTGCGAGGGTCAGTCCCTGAACCCGTTCTCGGGTAGTTTTCAAGGGGACAGCCGGTCGCCTTCGCCTCGTCCACGCTTCTCCAAGGAAGAATATGGCAGGTATGTCCATCCAGAAAGTTCTCCTTCAATGTCAATGTTATGCAAATTGAGCTACTTGGACGACGATAAAATTGTATCATGAAGTTCGATTTTATAGCGACACGTTCAACTGGGAAAGAAATAGGGATTTGCTCGTAAAGTCAGCAAATCTTGTGAACCGCATTCAGGAAAAAGGAACCAGCGCAATGACAGTGCTAAAATGTTGCCCCTCCATATATATCCGGAAACTCTCCCAAAATAGCTAATCGTTTATGCATCCCACCAGAAAATCGTTAATTTTGAAGGGAAATAACTGTAAATTTTAATACTGTGCACATATTTAGTATTTTCAATAGAAAAAAAGAAGTTGCATTCTTTTGAAAACACTGTTAACACACTGGTTCCTTTTTGCTAAATGCGATCCATGTGTACACACAGGTATACCCCTGTTTATTCACTATCCTTATTAAAGTAGAACCCATCTTTTTAGAAGGAATAGCCTTCTTAAACATCGCTTACCAGTTACCACCACACAGCTTTTCCCTAAAGTTTTTCTTTAGTCTCTAAGGTATGCAATTTGAGCTACCTATACATAGATTTAATTGTATTTCGCAGTTTGCTCACTTTTCGATACGATTACCTGAGAATAATAGACGCTGTGATTTGTTCAGGAATTCATGATTCATGTGCACCCCTCTTTTGCATGAAAAAGAACCGACTTTTTCGTGGAAATTGTATTTCCTACATCATAAATTCGTCCAATCACCAAGAAAGCACTTTCCCTAAGTTTTCCTACAAATTTGAAGCTAGGCAATTTGAGCAACTTGAACGTTGATATAATTACATCGTCCAGTTTGATCACGTGGCGATAAGTTTAACTGAGAATAAATAGGTTGGCTTGCTCGTGGATTCAATTGTGCTCCTCTTGCTGACCATTCTCATCTAAAGCGAACCAACTTTTGAACAGAAATTTTGAACAGACAGTCCTCTCGACCGATCAGCGATCCGATCACCAAAAATCACTTTTCCGAGGTTTTTCCGAGGTTATGAAGTGTCAAAAACATGTTGCTCGTTAAGACCACAAACAGAGACGTAGATAGTTGAGAGCTCCAACGATTTATTTTTAGAGATTCGTCAATGTTTGAAACAATTGTCACTACAATGTAGCAGATGCAATATAACAAATATTTTTGAACACGTTCGATTTCCCTTTGTGTCTTATTCGACTGAATTATCGTCATGCTTTTTGTAAAAGAAAATAAAGGCAAAAATATTCAACGCTCCTCTTTAGATTGAAACCGAATTTCGAAAAATCAGAAAATACTCATAAAAATTCTAAAATACAACAGAATCTCCCACGAAATACAATTTAAGGTAAAACATGATCTAGAAAAAAATTATAAAAACCTCTGCAAATATTTAAGTTTAAGGATTTTCGGACCTGGACAAAAGTTTTATCATCTTCATTTTTCTATTTACTTTCAATACTAAAACGAAGACTGCAAAACATACATGCCGTAGCCTTAAAGCGTTCATACATATTTTGCGTAGACTTTATGCAAGAACTAATTCAAATATTTCATCTCTCGGCGCTGCATAAAATGTTCGCGGTCAGTATCAGACTCCAAACTCCTTGCATTTTCCTCCATCAGTGTAAAGGAGGTTCTGTAGGCCTTGCAATTTCGGGGGGTTTTGCGCAGTTTTGGCACATTCACGCGGTCGTGCGGTCAAGAACAATTTACACTCCTCGCAAAATAGATATATCAAAAATTCTCAAAATCAGCTAACAAGTAGAGAATCAAGTCTGACATTGAAATCAGCGGATTCAAACTTCTCACTTGCAGAAAAAATCATGAGCTAACGTATTTCAAAGTGTCTCCTGCAAATAAGTCAATATGCGTTCGGCAAATAACGAGTCAGACCTGGTTTAATGATAGAGAGAGAGAGACAAAATTCTCGCTCTGATCCCATAAATTGGAAGCGAGAGCTTGTGAGAAAAAAGAAAATATACTAAAGGAAATTCCAGAGTTGAAATACAGCAGAATCAATATTGGAAATGTGATTTTCATTTAAAATTCATTTAAACTGATTGAGTGGAAACCGCGTTCTTCCAAGATCATTATTTTTGGGTTGGGAATTATATGAAAGTGAAAATTTTCTTCGATAAATTGAGATGCTTAAATTCAAACCATGGCCGATGATCCATTTTTTCAAAAATGATATTTTTTTTCATTTTAAATGAAATACATATTTTTGATTATTCATTCGTGATTCGGACTCTATTCAACTGCAATCATCCTCAGTCTAGAGGCATGCAGTGCGCCTTCATTTTTTGCATATGCAACACAGCTAGCATTGGAAATCAAATAGTAACATTGGTAGCATAGTATCACACGGTTTTCTCAGGACAGGGAAGAAAAATCGAGCGAGTTTTCAAAAATTGGAGTTGAGTAATTTTCCGATTAAAAAATGAAGCCCGGCAGGAAGTCTGCAACGTCGCAAACCGAAATATGTTGCCACATTTACAAACTATTCATGGACACCATGGAGAATCATTTAACTATTAATAAAATATGAAAGTTTGAGCTTGTTCAACAAATCACAAAGATATTGGTATTTTATATTTTATTTTGGTGTTTGGAGAGGATTAATTGGAACTTCTATTAGAATAATCATTCATTCTGAGCTTATAAACATTGGGTCTTTTTTATTAAATGAACATTTCGTCGCTTGGCTGACATAAGGGCGTAACTACACTTTGAGATGAGCCCGGAAAAACATTTAATTGTATGGAGGACAGGATTCAATGAAGAGTGTAGTTACGGCCTTATGTCAGGTAGGCGACGATTTATGCAATGTAGTAACTTTACATGCATTTATTATAATCTTTTTTAAGACTATGCCTTTGGTTATTCGTGGATTTGGTGACTGACTTGTTGACTTGTGAACATTTCCGGAAATTCGCGCTCCCGGTCCCGCGGAATTTTGCTCCCTGGTCCAAAGGGCCCTCGATGCAATAAATTCGGTCTCATCTGTATGAGCAACATCGTCGGTGATTTGGCAATTTTATGGGTGTCAATGACGAGGCGCGGAAACGCTATTTTCGACGGAAGTTAACACGCCGTTTCAATGTCGCCCCTGTTTACACGCCCGTCCGAGACACCGAAATTCCGTCGCGGGCGCTCCCGCCATTGTAGAGACCGGTGTCCTTCCACGCGATCATCATCCATCGAGACGAAACAAATCAAATCCGAATCGGATGTGTTTCCGTTTCACCATCGAGAGCCAGTTCCGAAATAACGCAGAAAAAATGCATCCATTCACAATGAAACCTGGTGCAGAAAAAGTTAAAACTGAGGTATCGGTGCTTCTGTGAAGTAGAGTATTTTATCAAAATTGTGTAAGTATAAAGCCGGTTTTATAGCGCTCTGTGGCGCTCTGCGACACCTAGCCGCCAAAGTCCCCTATCCTCCCAAAGCCTTTCAAGGAGTTGGCAAACCCTCATTTCTTCTAAAACCCCCTGTCGCCACCCTCTCATTGGGCGTCCCCTTCGTCTCCTCCCAGGAGGAACCCAATCAAGCAGCTTCATTTTATCAAAATTCTAGCCCAAAAAACCCTCGAAAATGTAAATATCACCGGATACGAGATAACAGCAAAGTAGAGGTTTATGACGGTTTGAAATGAGCAATTTAAAAAAACTTATTTCATGGAGATCTATTTTAAACTTCAACCTGTTGTGTTTGGGGTCGTCTCATTAGAATATACCCATACAATTTGTCCCTGAATTTTATTTCGCAGACTTTTAACTGTTAAAAAAAATCCGTTTTGTAGCAGATCAACATTTGAGGCACTGTTAAACCCTTCCTTATCCACAGAATTTGCAACTTGTGTTTGAGACGTGCTGACATTTTCTTGAATCCAAGTTCCAAGTCAAGAGTGAAACTGCAAAAATGCGCATCCCCTTCGCTTTGTCTGAAAATCTCCGCTCCCGATTTTTTGCATCAAAGGCAGAAAAGCCAACAAAATTGCTTGACATTTTCACGAAGTATTCTTCGCTCAGGGAGGAAAAATCAGAAGGGTTTTCAAGAAATAACGTTGAGTCTTTTTCCATTTAAAATATCAATTATGACAGGAAGTCTGCAGCATTGGAAACCGAGATATGCGGTTTTGAAGTTTTGCCCTCGAAATGTGTATCGATTGCCAAAGGGCTAAACCCTGTATCTCCATTTTCAATATCGCAGACCTCCTATCATACTTCATATTTTCTTTCGAAAACTAGTCAACAAAATTTCTTGAAACCTTCCCTGATTTTCCTTCCACGAGAATGTTCTATCAAATTTTAAGAGATGAAGTTGTCATTCTCTTTAAGTTATTTCCCTTAAAAAAAAAAAAAAAAAAAAAAAAAAAAAAAAAAAATAGAACGGACATTGTAAAACGCTACAATGAAGTTATCTGCTGTCCAAAGTAAAAACATCGTATCTCCATTTGACATTTTTCGATTTTTCCCTGACAGAATACTTTTTCACAAGACAACTAGCCGAAGTTCATCCTTCATTTTTTCGAGTCGATTTTTACATACCATTAGGAACTCAAAATAAAAAATAAAGCATTGTCATCCTTGGATTTTCTTGTGTCAGAGCAGTGTGTGTCGAAGAAGAATACGAAATTCGTAATTGAGCCACGGCGTTTTTCCTGTGGACAGCAGATATGTGGTTTTGCACTTTGGCCATCTTTATGCGGTTTCAACGTACCTCATCGTCAAAAAAATTAACGCATTATTTCCGCTCTAATAACCTGAAGTTCTCCGCACGGTCGTATACTTTACCTCCGATAGCGACAAGGCAAGGTCCGGACTTTAACGAGTCTCAAATTGTCGCCCAAATCGTTTGTTTGTCAACGGTGGTTGAAGTTGCCACGGCGGTTGCCGATTGTGCGGCTCGCGAAATGAATTCCCTGCAATTCGAGCTCGAAGTCGTGTGCTCACTTGGCAACGGTGCCTGGCGTGGGCCCAGCTTTTAATCGCGTCGCAAACGGGGAATAGTGAAAATAGTAAACACCCTGCGCTGCTGTGCTGAGGAAAAACGCCGTATGAACTTCGAACGGTGCCACATTTCCAGCGATAAAATATTTTTTTCGGAGAAAAGTCATGAATATTTCTCCTTGACATTTTCAGACACTCCAGATCGAACTACGAGCGAAATTTTATGAAAAATTGAAAGAAGAATATTCTTAATTTTCTCGAAAATCCGTGATTTGTCCGACGAAATTTGGCAACTTCTGCAAGCTCATACGGCGTTTTGCCTTAACCCGGCAGTGCACAAGTCGGAGATAGTTCAAGACCATGGTCGCAGACCATCGTTACACGTTTCAAGTCGATTTCCCGTCCCAAGTTCAACGATTCGAGGGAAACTTCGCGTTTGAGAAGAGCCGCCAGGCTGAGAGACTTATTTAATTATTTTTAGCCGTTCTCTGAACAGCCCAGGAGACTCCGAATGACTCGCGTAGGATTGCTAAGATTGCGAAGGAACTGATCAAGGAATGTCCCACCAAAAACGACCGTGTTGATGTAAAAACTTCTAATAACTACAAAACACTAGAAAGTGGGTACCCAAGGCTAAAAAACAACAAACACAAATCCTGGGTCGTTTCGGGATGGTTTCAGCCGCCGCTTTGACCAGGAAAAAAATATACACAAAACACTTTCAAAATCAAAATCCCTAGACTCCCATTCGTGACAAAAAAAGTGAGGTTGTCCTTGAAAAGTGAGGTGTCTGTTATCACGGATGGGGGTCTAGAGATTTCGATTTTTATAATTTTTTATATATTTTTGTTCCCTGCTTGAGGTTGGGGTTGAAACCACCCCAAAACATGCCTGGCTTTGTGTTTGTTGTTTTTTATCCTTGGATACCCGTTTTTATGTTTTTTAGTTGAATTATCCGGGCTGTTTTTGTGTGTTGTTCTGCCGTGCTAAGAAAAAACGCCGAATGAATAACCGAGAGCGGCCAAATTTCCTCTCCTAGAATATTAATTTTCGATACAAATTAATGAATATTTCTTCTTGAGATTTTCTGATGCTTTAGATCACACTGCGAAGAGAATTCTCTGGAAAAGTGGACGGAAAATTTTCACAAGTTTTCCTAAAAATTAATATTTTACTAAAAGGAATTTGGCAACGCACGAAAGGCTCAAACGGCGTTCTTCCTTGGCATGCCAGTATTGTACAAGAACTTTTTTGTTAAAAGAGCGTATGAGGCTCCCAATACTGCTGAGATTGTCCAACGTATGTCATCAATCACAAGCTACGAATTGTCGTGAATTTTCTTTCACCATTATGTAGAAATTAGTCAACTGGGAATATACCTATTTGTACCTATTTGTCCCTATTTGTATTTTCATTTGCTGAAAATCCTTTGAATCTCAGCAATATTGAAAGCCTCACACGCCCTTTTACCGAGGGAGTCTTCAAGCCACTAGATAGGGTACGAATTAGAGCACTTTGCCGTATTATATGTTTTTCCTTCTAAATTTCACTGGGAAAACGATTCACACAGCGGGAAGACAGGTAGACTAAAGTACAAATTAGATGATCTTTTATCCCGTCTCTCACATTTGGATACAATTTAACGGTTGGATTGAAATGTGTTTCAGACCTGTTGCAGGCTCAGAAACTGAGCGAAGAGGGAAGAAAGCTCACACACACATCTGCAGAGAAATTCTCGAGCTCTGTACAGTGATTCACGATATGGGTCAGTACCAAGCCAAACACAAAGCAGCAGATGATGATGATGAAGAAGAACACGATGGCACAATTATCGTCAGCTTTGGCGAGCTTTTCCAGGTAAGCAACGCAAAACTTCTGAATGCTGGGAAATTTTATAGCTTAAGATTAAATTTCACAGTAAATGAGATATCGACGGAGTAAGTCCGCAATCACACATCTCGTTTGCGGTGTCTGAAAATCTTCGCCTACTCTGTGTTATTTTTTTCAAGGAGAACAAATTGGCATCATTCCTTGAAGTTTTTGCAGAATCTTCTTTGCACAGAGAAGAATTATCACGGCAGTTTTAAAGAATTGCCGTTGAGTAGGTTTTCGTTTAAAAAATAAAGTACGATAGGAAGTCCGAGACGTCGCAAACTGAGTTATGCGATTGCCAACTTACGCCGTTGATATGTCCTTGGGTACTTTTAGCACACGCGCGTGTTGCAAATACAATTTTTGAAACATTTTTTCTTCGCTGCACACTATCACTTAACTGAGGTATTTATGAGAAACCTAACAAAAAAATAATAGATCAAGATTTCTTACATCTCATAATGTGTTCATCAATCAAGTCTTAGACATGCAAGCTTGGGCGGTTCCTGAGAAGACTCCAGGAGATTTGCATGTATAATTTAATCTCACTTTGATATACAATTTCGAAAATTTCGTATAAATTTCAAAAATCGTCTACAATCCCACGTGAAATAACGTATCTGTATTCCAAGATCACTAGATCGACTAAACGTGAATTAACGTATCTGTATTCCAAGATCACTAGATAGATTAAAAAAAAACTCAATTTGTTACAAGAATATGACTATTGAAACGCCTGGCCAAATTTTTGCTGATTTTCGAGGTTTTCTGAAGTTACCCAATAGTATCCCAGTGAAAATAGAATTTGTGAGTGTAAACTTTATAACGCGATGAAATGCAGCTACTTTCTTTTATATTTGAAAAACAACAAAATACGTTCAGCAAGTTGGCAACAGTGTTAAATCCATTTAAATTTATTAAATGTCTCGATTCTAGGTGAGAAAAGCTGCCTTACCCAGAATCGATAATTTAACATACATTTGAATGAAGAAAAAGCAGTGTTACCAAATTGCAAGAATCGTCACTGATTGCGTCTCACTTTCCACGCGTAGCGCGAACTATATTTTGTCGATAAGATGTTGATATCAACTTTACTTAATGGTTTTAATAACTTTCCGATAGGCATGATTCGTTGCCAATATTTAAAGTGATCCTGACGAAAGAAATTCATAAGCTGAGCCCCAATACTTTCCCATCATTTCACTTCACGTGCCAGAGGCCGGCGCCTTGTCTGGGGCGATGACTGATGATGAGAAATACAGACGTGATTAAATTCGTCTACCTCTCTGCGAGGGTCGGACCACTCGTGCCAATTTCAAAACCATGAAAATAAAAAATGGAAAAATTATCCATCATCTTGTCGTTGGGATCAGGAAGTTCGCAGCGGCATTCACACGAAAAAAAAAAACTTCCTACAACTCACAGCATCCGTATCCTGTTATAATATTTCCCTCTTTTTTCCTCTTTTTAAGACAACCGAAATCCCCATTGTCACGATAAGTTTCAGGCTATGACAAGTGGTAACGAAAATTCGTTTGCCTCAAAAAGCAAATTCCGAGAGGGAAATATTAACAGGACGCTTCTACAGATGCTCTTAGAAACATCTCTTCGTGTCATTTTTTACACAGACTTGAAAAAAGTATGACATTTAATCCGTCTGTTCTAAGGTTTGGGGGTTTGCGAATTGATAGCTGATTCCAGTGGAAAATTTTACGAAAAGAATGATGACGCCATCAAAACATCCTAAAATCACCTCCCGAACTCAAAAAAGCTGTTTTAGGAACCGGCCCATTCAAAACGGTCACTTTTACGCGGGAACGGATCCGGTCCACTCGTGACGTCACAGCACATGACAAATCTGGTTTCTTCGTCAAGCGGCTGCCAATTCCTTGTGGAGAAATACGTTGTAAAATATGAAGAGACCAGGTTTGGCATGTACTGTGACGTCACGAGTGGACCGGTTCCGTTCCCGCGTAAAAAAAAACCGTTTTAATATACCGAATTTTCGGTGTTTTTAAGTTGATTTTTTGGGGATTTCCGGTGGTCAAAAAACTCAGGGAAAATTCCTGTAACATCGGGAGCCTTAACTCTTTCGATACAAGAAAAAATTGTGCAACAGGCCCATTCTTCTCATCAAATTAAAACAAATAATTAGTATGCAGCTAAAGAAGACATACAAATTTATAGCATCATCCGCAGAGGGGGAGAAACGTCCCTCCAAGAAATCAAAGTTTGGTGCAGATAAAATATACTAGTTTTATTATTGGTATGGCTGACAAAAACTTAGTTCATCTGCGCTAAAGTGAACTGATAATTCGCACCGGAAAATTTTGGTTGCGCGTGAATCGAAGCTCATTTTCTGTGTTGAAAGAATCTTTGAAAGTCATTCTGTAATTTAATAGCGGTTTAGCCGCGCGTCACCTGGGGCACTACATTACGTGCTAATTAGGGAACATTCCATGCAGTTGATTTTTAATTCCCCTAAATAATAATGATGAGTGAATGGAAACACGAAAAACTGCCTGAGGCCAAAAAATACATGTTTATTACTCACTTGCTGTGTGTTTCTCATCCTCTCTAGTTCGCCTTCAATAACCATGAATGCAATAAGTGGGGGTTAGGAGTAGGAATAGTTGCTTTGCGCACAATTGCAGGAGCACACGTTTGATCAGTCAAGTCAGCACGCAATCACTTAACGCGAGGAATTCTTTTGCATTTAAACCAATGTTCGGTCATCAATGCAACATCGTTCCTTTCAGCAGAAATACCAACGGCGTGGCGTGCTTTGCGATTTATCGATTAATCTGCCATTCAAACCCATGGAAAAGGATCGATAAACAGGGTGTTCGCAATGAACAACTTAATAATTGATTCTTCACCACAGCTTCAAATGGGGGAATTATCGATAATCGATCATTCTCGCCTCGCCACTGGTATTAACTCGTATGCTGAAAGGAACGATGTTGCACCCAAAACCCCAAGCACATAATTCCTATGAACATAAACACGACTTTTGACAGGCGTGAGCATTGAAGGGGATGTTTTCACATCAAATTTCATACAAAGCATGTTGAACATGTCTAAAATTGTGAAAAACAACTTATTATCAACTGATTAAAAACTTATTAAATTACTACCTCAGCAATTAATCCTCAGGTTACTAACATTGTTTGTTTTCATAAATCTGTATAAACTTTCCGCTTTCTAAAAAGAGGTGGACCCCACAACAATTTCATCTCAATGGAGTTACTGTCTCTGACTCATCCATGAAAACTCCGTAAAAACACTGATAAATACGATCAAAATGGTCCATTGACTCCTAAATGCTGTGTCTTAAATCCTGAAAAATTGCTGTAAGATTCAGAGCACAATTTGACTGACGTGACGACGGGTTTACCGGAGATGGCGGTTCCCCGACCCGGTAGGCGGGCGGGGGAGGGGGGGGGGAGGAGACAGGTGTTTCTTAAAAACTGCACGAAAGTGGGAATAATTTGGCACGAATCGTGATTGCAACAGTCTGCGCCTAAATTCAATGTCAGTTGGACCTGTTTCAAATTCGAGGAGGAGAAAAATTTGCCTCGCGTCGAGACGTCGAGTTTCCGCGTTTCCCGTTTGTCGTCGCTTGGCTGACGAAAGGGCGTAACTACAATTTGAGATGAGCCCGAGAAAGCATTGGGTTGCATGGACAAAAGGGTTCATCCGCAAGTGTAGTTACGCCCTTTATGTCAGGAAGGCGACGTTGTGAACATGTTCCACATCCAAGATTCGACGTCGGTCTCATTAAGTTTCCCACGACCGCCGAAACCCAATCCGTCTATCTAGTTTTTTTTTTTTTTTTAAAAAAAATAAAGATTATATAAAATTAGTTTTGTATGTGGTAGAACTAGGAGCTCGTATTTCGAAAAAAGACTTAAAAGCCTCTCGACGACAAGAGGAAACTTCCAATTTTGAAGCTCAACCATTCAATTATTGAAACTACCGTGTTGTTGGCTGTTGAACAACATGTAGAGTATTTGTTTGGCAGAAGGACTGAATTTTTTGTAAACATGTATACACGTATACTATACTAAACTAAAGCTCAATAGTCAAGCACAACTTCTTGGGTTAGTGTAACTGGAGAAAATTGCCCAAACAATTTCGAAATCGTGTGAAATCGCATTTTTGATTTGGGTTCATGTTGGAAACATGTCGAAAATTCGATTTGGGTCGATTATTTAATATATTGAATATTTAAAATACGGTTGGATCGTGAAAGAGGTAATGATGCTCTTCAGATCAAATAAAAGACCTATTCTACTTAGGAAGAACCTTCAGGCGTTGCTAAATTTGATAAAAAATACGAAATTACTGGAAATGTTACAAATATTTTTATTCAAATTTTTCAGAAAAATTTGTTGGTAAGCTAATCTTATTAAATATCTGAAAATCTCAAGGAAAAATATGTATAACTTTTTTCCAAACGATGAAGCACAAGAAAGTACTACCAAAGTTTCAAAATTTTCTACCAAAGTACATTTATTAGCAGAGAAAATTTTGCAACATTCGAATGTTCATACGGCGGTTTTCCTTAACACGGTAGTGTAAACCCATCGACAGGCTTAATACTTCGCTCAAACCACCTACCGCTTTTCCTTTCATAAAAATTATCCCCACAACATTTTTTTTTGCAAAATTTCCTTACTCACGTAAAGAAATCAAAATTACTCTGAGCCTGACTGAAAGACCCAGCAGTCGCCTTTGTACATATTCTCCATCCATTTCTGCATTTGAAAAATAAACCGGGTAGAGCAGAAAATATGTCCAGCTTGAAAAAGCAAACATCGTGGCCACCGCCTGAAGAGTTCGCCGACTTCCGCCCACAAAATAAAGTGTCAAAACAACTTTTTCGCTTCATTTTGCGGCAAGCATTTGAAAAGAAAATAAATTCACTGAATTTAGCGTGAACTATCGCCTAATATCAGCTCCATCTTTCCCATGAGTGCTTTTTGTTTTCGTTAGTTTTTTTTTCATGCTTCCACGATTTTCCATCCACAAGGTAAAGAGCATTTTTGATCGCCTGCCAATTCATATTTCATGTCGTTCAAAATATTTACCCGTCGAGGACCCGAAGTTTGTGATTGTTGGTGCGGTGAAATCGGACTATTTTTAACGGATCGGCCACGGCTCGTCTTGTGCAGTGAGGCTGGAAAACCGCATAATTGTAATGGGGTTTTCATTGGAGTTAAGGGGTTTCGGACACGCCACGACAGGAGGAGGAAATCATCTTTTCCCCATAAAAATGTTCGTCTCAGGCTCTGTCGATTGCGGAGGCGCCACGATCAACGCCTGAGTATTTTTACCTTTTCATTCATAATTTTAGATGAATGTAAATCTAAAAATAATTTCGCGGAGAGGCAAGATATTACTACACGAGTTTTGCAGAGTTTCACCGTATCATCGCATGATCACGCCCACCTGATCGACCCCCCCCCCCCCCCCCCCCCCCCCCCCCCCACGTCCTCAATTTGCTCATAATATAACTGAGTTACTGACTGAATTGAGCCAGGAGGGCTCAAACGAATCCGGGTTTTCGCTGTATACCAAACAGTCAGAATTTCCACCTTGAGGCACACTTTGACAGATTTCATCACATTTATTTAAGGAAATTGGGGATGAAAAAAAGAGTCGCGTACCTCTTTGAAAAAAACAGCTTCTCAGCGATATAATTGAAACATTTTGCAATCATTATTACTAAGAACTACAATTTCTGACTCAGTGTAGAAATAACATGTGTACAATTGATTTCCCTATGCAAATAAGTGTTTTTACAAATGATCCAGAAATTGTAATTCCTAACTCCAAAATATAGTCCAACCATGATTTACATCAGTAGTACTGGGATTAGAAAAGTCCTTTCTAGGTGTTGATGCTTAAAATCACGCGAAACATATATTTGGCTCGTGTGAAACGATCGCATCTCCTCAAAACGATCGATATACACAGGGTAACCTAAAAGACCCAGACCACTAGCACCAGGCATCACTCTGTAAATTTTGTACAATTTAAGATGAGAGACTTGAAATTTTGTGGGTGCTCCTCAGGCCAAAAGAAACGGCTCCAGGGAACCCCCAGGATTTTAAAGGGACAACCCTCGTGAGGGGCGTGAGCTATGAAGGGTACAGGGGTGGTGTGAGACTTTTGGATCACCCTGTGTATGAGGTCAAAGTTGGCAATAGAGCGGCACAACAAGTTTCCCAGCGACCGAGACCTTGAGAGGGAGACTCACGCTGGAAAGAGAGGAATTTTCGAGATGAGTAATAAGTCTGCGGCACCGGCGCCGCTGCGGGTGTAAATTTTGACAATTTAATGCAATTTCCCGTCAGCGGAATCGACGAAGGGTCGTTGTGATGATCCGGCATTCCTCCGTCGGATACTTGGCTCCCTTTCAACGTTACCCAATTCAAGATCAGCTAAGGTTGGATCAAAATAACTTGACCCGCGCGAACCAACAGGCGCCTCAGCCTGCAGCCTGCAGAGACAGCATATGGACAGAGTTTAGCAGAATCTTACAAGAAAATATACTGAAAAATCGTCAAAACAAGGCTAAAACAAAAGATGGAACACGATTAGCTGATTATTGAGATGGATAGACACAGAGATAGATAAAGAAGATAGAGGGATAACAAAAGCTATCCTATTGGTAGGATTGGGTGGTCGCAATGGACAAAGTAGGTAAGTAATAGACTAACTAACGGCAACTTACAAGAGATCCTTCGGTCAGTACATCATTTGCCCTTTTAGTCTGTAACAATCACTGTTTCAACCAACAGAATCGCTCCATTTTCCTCTCGTCTTCTTTGTCTATCGCTATGTATATTAATTTCAATAATCGGCACGTAGGTTGAATTTTTTGGTCCGATCACTCAGTGATGGTTTGCGGCGATAATGAGCGATATGCTTGTGGTAGCTCGAGGCACTTCCGCGCCACGAAAAGTAAATTTATCCTTCATATTTTGATACGCAACACGCATTACATTTAAGCGAGTACTTACGGTTGTTTCTTGATCAGTTTATTTCCATAGAAAGACCTCTAATAGTTTACATCATAGAGAATGGTGATTTTTGTTGTTGCTACAACGTGCTTTTGTTTGTGTTTTGTAAAAAAAATTTACGAAATCCCAGCAAAGTGCCTTTATAATAGCTTTGAAAATAGAGCCTCTAAGAAGTAACAATGATTTATCAATATTGATGACACAAAAAATATAAACGACAATAATCAATATTTTTTAAAAGATTTCAGGCAGGTCCGTAACTACCTATATTTCGAAGCCTTCAAAACATTTTCGTCAAAAAAAAAGGTCTCTTTCATCATGCTACATGTTAAGGGTTCCTTAAGCCTCCCTTAATTAAAGTGTGAACCACGTGGAGCCTCCTCAGGAAAAGGGGCTGCTTACAAATAAAATATACAAATACGGTCCTATCAGTTTCAGAAAAGACAGCATTGCAAACTAAAAGTTGAATGATAAGGTATGAGATAACTCGACTTATTTGAGGCAAAAGGGAAAGGGAACCGAAGTGACAGAGGGGGAATCTTACAGGATTACATCGGTTAGTAATGCTTGTGATTTGAATTTTGGCTCAGAATTTACAGGGGTCAGACGCCAAAGAGTTTGTGTCGCGTGACGGGTATCCACGGGGGGGGGGGGATTGGGTTTCAATTTCATGCGAAGCCAAAGGGATTTCGGAGCAAGCCCCCGGCTCATTTAAAATAATGTCCCGTGTGCACGTTTTCTGAGACAGTGCAATATTTTCCATTTTGGCCGAGTGAGTGGATGAGCACCATTCTGAGCGCTTTTTTTTAAAGGTCAACTTGCTCCGTCGATATATAATAACATATATTCGTAGATTTTCACGAGATGTTTGAATTTTTTAAAATTCTAATATCAGTGAATGCCACTGAGGTTGGAATCAAATTGATCTGCAGATCGGCATTGCGTTAATTTTTCGCCGGTTTGTGAAATTTTCAGGGACCGAAATTTGGCAGGAATCTCGGAGAGCGTCGAAAAGGGGCG